TTTAATTATTAAAGGTTTAAGAACTTTTGAAAAGACTAAAAAAGAATTTTGCTCATATTCCTGCCAGCCTTGCACAATAATTGTTTTCATTCCTATAGATTTTTTCTGGTCTTGTCTCATGCCAATACATACTTTACATTGTTGTAATCATTGTGTGAGGACAATTTAAGCTCTTTCTTCTCAGCTTTGTTTGTAGACATCTCTTCCATGTCACTTTATTTATTTATTTATTTATTATTTTTTGAGACGGGGTCTTACTTTGTCACCCAGGCTGGAGTGCAGTGGTGCAGTCATAGCTCACTGTAGCCTTAACCTCCCAGGCTCGAGTGATCCTCCTGCCTCAGCCCCCTAAGTAGCTGGGACCACAGGCATGCACCATCACGCCTGGCTAATTTTTAAATTTTTTTTTTTTTGAGAGATAGCCTTGCTCTGTTGCCAGGCACCAGGCTGGAGTGCAGTGGTGCAATCTCAGCTCACTGCAGTCTCCACCTCCTGGGTTCAAGCAGTTCTCCTGCCTCAGCCTCCCAGGTAGCTGGGACTACGGGCACATGCCACCACACCCAGCTAATTTTTGTATTTTTTAGTACAGACAGGGTTTCACCATGTTGGCCAGGGTGGTCTTGATCTCTTGACCTTGTGATCCGCCCACCTCAGCCTCCCAAAGTGCTGGGATTAAAGGCGTGAGCCACCGCAGCTGGCCAATTTTTAAATTTTTTGTGGAGATGGAGTCTCGCTATGTTGCCCAGGCTCATCTTGAACTCTCGGCCTCAGGGGACCCTCCTGCCTTGGCCCAACAGTCCTGGGATTACAAGCATGATCCACTATGCCCACATTATTTATTTTTAACAGCCATATAGTAATCTGTCAGGTTAACATACTATATTTAGACATTCTTCTCTCATTGGCATATAATTTTACCCAAATTTTCACTATCATGAATTTTGTTTATTCTTGGTTTTATGCAATTCGTAAAAAAAATCACTGTTCATAATTTGTCTTCCATGCAGTTGATGCTACGGCATTTTAGAGTGGGTGCTGCCCTCCTTCACCACCCCTCTTCCATCAGACTTCCAGCACAAGAAGTGTCCTGGCATCAACATTTTGGAAGCTGCTTTAGTGAGGGCCACTCTTGGGGCTGGACAGAGGGCTCACTGGGGGTGGTATTGGCCATGAGGTTGATCAGGAACAGGGGCTTGGCTGGCCTGGCAGGGTGTAGGCTATTCCCAGGTCATGTCATCAGCAACAAGGTGGGTTAGCTATGGTGCACATACACCGCCACCCTAAGCAACTGGAAACCTGGACAAAATGTCTCAATCAACTATTTTCAGGGGTTGAGCAGCAGGCTCTGCAGAGCTAGGACCTAGGAGTCTACAGAAACAAGACGGCAAGGCGCCGCAGCTGCCCTGGGTTTCTGCCTTGGTGAGGTAGGGGGTGCGTCTTGGACTTCAAGCAGTGCGAGTAGATTGGCTGAGTTGAGGAGCTGGGTGGTTGGGGGGCTCTGAACAGCTGTGGTTTGTAGGAAGAGTCCTGGAGGGATGGCAACACTGCAGAGAGGGGGCTCCAGTAATCCTCAGGAGTGCCCCCAAGCATTGGGGGATCCTAAGCTGTGTGGGCGCACTGTGCAATGCGTGGAGACAGGAAAGGACGAGTGTCCAGGAGCAGAAAGGCAGCCGAGTCCCAGAGTTCACCTGTTCTGGGAGATGCTCAGGTGGGAGCCAGATTCAGTGGACAGCTCTCACTGAACCCCTGGCATGCCCTAGAGACCGCTGAAGGGTACCACCTTAGTAGTGGAGCAAACAAGCTCTAGAGCAAGGGTACCTTAGACCCTTCCCTGCGGAGCTTAAAACAAGGCTTGAACATGAGGTCAGAGGCAGGCCCCAATCTGGAGGCTTGGCTCACACAAGAGACCAAACTGAGGCCTAGCTAAAACAGAGGGGGCAGAAGTAGCTTTCCCTAAGACACACCCACCAGTGTGCCAAGTCAGTTTACCATTGCCATGGCAACACCCAGGATTGACCTCTCCTTTCCGTGGCAATGACTGGACAACCCAGGAGTTCCTACTGCTTCTCTAGAAATTTCTGCATAGACCACTCCTTAATCTGCATGTAATTAAAAGCAGGTAAAAGTATGCCTGCAGAGCCGCCCTGAGCTGCTCTCTGCCTGTGGGGCCACCCTGCTCTGCAGGAGCAGTCACAGAGCTGCAACACTGCTGCTTCAATGAAGCCGTTTCTCCTATCCTACCACCAGCTTGCTCTTGAATTCTTTGCTGGGTGAAGCAAAGTGGGGCTCATCTGCCCTGCATCAAAAAAATCAAATTAGTCTGCAGGTGACTTTGCTGCTTAACTGGGCGTGGAAGAAAAGAATCAATTAAGGTCCTTCATGAACACAAATGTGAAATCCTCAACAAAATATCACCAACTATGACTCAGCCATGTACAAAAAGGATTATAGATACCATAATTAAGTAGAGTGTTTCCCAGGAGTAAATGGTTAGCTCAACATTCGAAAGTCAATCAACACAATTCTTCCTGTCAACCGACTCAAGAAGGAAGTATTTATGATCGGCTCAATAGATCCAGAAACGGCATTTAACAACATTCAACCCCCATGTGTGACCAAAACACAGGAAGCCAGGACTTAAAGGGAATTTCCTTAATGTGATAAAGGCTTCTACGAACGCCCTACCGCGAACAGCATGCCTAAGGGTGAAAGACCGATTGCTTTTCCTCCAAGGGCCAGGGCAAGGCCAGGATGTCCGACCCCATCACGTCTACTCACTATTGTACTGGGGGTTCCAGCAAGTGCAAAAGGTGAGAAAAAGAAAGTAGAGGCATACGGATTAGAGAGGAATAAACAAAACCATCTTTATTCCCAGGCGATATGATTTTCCATGTAAAAAATCCAGTGAAATCTAGAGAAAAGCTACTAAAACTCACAAGGGAATTTATTAGCAAACACCACTGAAAATTGAAATGAATGTCCATTTATAACAAATTTGGTCATAAATCCTATAAAGTATATAAAGAGCTACATGTTGAAAACAATAAAACTTGGCCGGTGCAGTGACTCATGCCTGTTATCCCAGCACTGTGGGAGGCTGAGGCAGGAGGGCTGCTTGAACTCAGGAGTTCAAGACCAGCCTGGGTAGCATAGCAGGACCCCATCTTTATATCAAAAAGGAAGAGAGAGGCCAGTCAAGGTGGCTCACGCCTGTAATCCCAGCACTTTGGGAGACCAAGGCAGGTGATCACCTGAGGTTAGGAGTTCAAGACCAGCCTGGCCGATATGGTGAAACACTGTCTCTACAAAACTACAAAAATCAGCCAGGCATGATGGTGGGTGCCTGTAATTCTAGCTACTCAGGAGGCTGAGACAGGAGAATTGCTTGAACCCAGGAGGTGGAGGTTGCAGTGAGCTGAGCTGGCACCATTGCACTCTAGCCTGAGCAACTGAGTGAGACTCTGTCTCAAAAAAAAAGAAAGAAAGAAAAAGATACATAAAAAACTATAAAATTCTGATGAAAAATATCAAAGAATTCCTAAATAAATGGAGAGATAGATTGTGTTCTTGTGTTGGAATAGTCAATATTCCAAGATTTACAAGATGTCAATTCTCCCACACTGATCTAGAAATTAAGTCCGAATGAAAAATCCCTGCAGGCTTTTTAGTAGAAATCGACAAGCTGACTCTCAAATTCACAGAGAAAGGCAAGAAGCCAACATAGACACAACTCCAGAGGAACATACGGTTGGAGGACACGTACTATCTGATGTGAAGACTTACTACAAAGCTGGCATCCAGACAGAGTGGCATTTGGCGAAGGGATGGACAGACAGCCAGGCCACAGAAGCCACCCCACGCAGCTGCGGTAGATTGACTTTTGACAGAGTGTGAGGCCAGTTTAGGGGAGATTCAGATTGAAGTTCTTGCAGGATAGCTAAAGGGTGGTTCGGAGGGTCTGAGACTCAAGGAGGAGTTCCGGAGCCCAGAGACAGTTTTGGGAGTCATTGACTTAGAGTTTAAAGTGGAGGACGTGGGAAGGTGTGAGCTTCTCCAGGGAAATGGGAAGATGGAGGAGAAACTGGAATAGGAAAGAGACAGGAGCAAGAGAAGGACCTGAAGGCGGGGATGCTCACATCTGCACAGTGGGGAGCGTATCTAGGGGAGGAGCTGGCCCATGCTGTTAGGTGCTGCTTGGACCATAAGATAGGCCAGGCTGGAAAAGGGATTTTAGGGAGGTAAAGAAGTGCAGAAGAACGGGAGAGCAGGGTGAGCACCGGCAGAGACACAATGGTGATGCACATCAGCCCAGCATCACCCTCTGCTACACACAGAGGGGCGGGGCCTCACCAACAGCCACACGGGTTTCCTTATTAGCTGCCGTTTTTTTTTTTTTTTTTTTTTCTGGAGACATGGTGTAGCTCTGTCGGCCAGGCTGCAGTGCAGTGGCACAGTCTTGGTTCCCTGCAGCCTCAACCTCCCGAGCTCAAGCAATCCTCACACCTCAGCCTCCCAGGTACCTGGGACCATAGGCCTGTACCACCACGCCTGGCCAATTTTTAAAATTTTTTTATAGGGATAGGGTCTCACTATGTTGCCCAGGCTGGTACTGAACCCCTGGACCTAAGTGATCCCCCCACCTAGGCCTCCCAAAGTGCTGGGATTACAGGCGTGAGCTACCATGCCTGCCCTCTCAACTCTAAAGTAAGATCTATGATCCCCATTTTACGGACAGGGGAACTGGGGCTGGCCTTTGAGCCCCAACCCTTCCCACCACCCTGTGCTGCTCCAGCTCAGCCCTCAAGCACATGGTTGTGTTCATGAAGAGCCATGGCCATGACTTGGAGGGCCTGGCGAGTGTGCACATCATGCCTGCTTCTCATGATGCCCTGCGAGGTGGGCAGAGGCCAAGGGTGCTCAGGCCAAGCACCTGCTACAGCAGATCTGAGGCACCAGCAAGGACTGGCCGGGTGGTCCTAGGCAGGCTGATTTGCCCAGGTCTTAGGCCTGTCCCTCTCTTCACTGCCTCTCAGCTGCCCAGGCAAATGCCACCCAATGTCCCCTGCAGAGCAGCCCTGGAGCCTGGCTGCCTCCTGCCCTCCGTGGGGCTGCCTCTGCACAGAGTCTAAGTCATTTCCTCCCTGGGCAGTTTTCAAAATGGCTAAGTCTAGTGGAGAAAAGAATGGCTCAAAGGGACCACAGGCTTGAATTTGAAAAAATAAAAATGCGGCCGGGAGCAGTGGCTCACACCTGTAATCCCAGCACTTTGGGAGGCTGAGGTGGGCAGATCACAAGGTCAGGAGTTCAAGACCAGACTGGCCAACATGGGGAAACCCCATCTCTATTAAAAAATACAAAAATTAGCTGGGCCTGGTGGTTCATGCCTGTAATCACAGCTACTTGGGAGTCTGATGCAGGAGAATTGCTTGAACCGGGGCCCAGGAGGCGGAGGTTGCAGTGAGCCAAGATCAAGTCACTGCACTCCAGCCTGGGCTACGAGGAGTGAGACTTCATCTCAAATAAATAAAAATAAAAATAAAAATGCTTGATTCCAAAGTGTAGAGGCACTTTTATGTGAACGACTCACACTTCAACCTAAAGAAACAGTTATTTCCAAATTGTTTTCCACGGCAGCAATCTCCTCAAAATAAACACACGTGAGGTCTTCGAATGTATGTTAAAGGCCAATATTTGTTTTCTTTTTTGCTTAGGAAGAACCGACTTCATCGTTTGCATGAGGACCTGATATTCTTGGTCTGCTGTACCTTTTGTAATTTCCTCTGAATGAGAGGAAATATGGTTTCCAGTTATATTTAATCTACTTTAAACAAATCAAAGCAGAGATTTCTACTTCCTGCCTGTGTAATACTTGACTGCAGGCAGCTTCAAAGGGCAGAATCACTGTGTTCTTGTGATTGTGCCTCTGTTGTATCCTATTATAAACAGTTCAAAGCTCTGCATTGTATAGAAGCATGCAGAACAGCATGTAGAGATCGTTTTCTCTGGAGTGGCAGCAGAGCTGTGTGTACTGTTTTGGTTTGCCTTGTGCTGGTCGTGGATTAAGTTTAGATTTTCATAGAATATATATTTATGTAGAGACTCAGAGTTTATTTTTCCTGTTTTCTCCAGCACTGCTTAACTTGTTCTCTGAAACGTTTACCACAAATAGCAAGTGGGGCTCAGAGGATGTCTCTCTGTTCCTTGGCCTAAACTGGCAGGTGGTTGTAAAGGGCAGTGGGAGGGAAAGAAAACTAAAGGGAAACCAAAATGCTTATTTAGGGCTTGGTTTTCTGGCAGGTGAATTGGGCTTGGGAAACGCCACCTAGATTAGCAGCTGTTTCTGACTGGCCTCTCGCCAAAGCTGCATCCCTGGCTGGTGGCAGGGGGAGGGGGCTTCAAATTCGGGTGTTCCAAAGGCTGGATTGTTCCAGCAAAGATATTCATGGATTCCCAAAGCAAGTTCGCTTGTTTTAGGAACGGTTCCCGGAGGCGCCGCGGAGGCTGCTGGGCTGCCCTGTCTCCCGGGTCCGTGATGCCCGGGCCTGCCCTGTCTCCCGGGTCCGTGATGCCCGGGCCTGCCCTGTCTCCCGGGTCCGTGATGCCCAGGCCTGCTGTGTGCTGTGCATCCTGCTGTGTGCTGGGACAGTGTGCCAGATGCTGGCATCCAGGAACAGAGAGCAGTTTGCATGAACATGGCTACTGTACAGTTGGTTCTCATCTGCTGGGGTGCAGGCACCTGAAAGACACGGAGGAGCTAACCCAGCTGAGGAGGGTGTGTGCCAGTCAGGACCTGGGTTGCAGGGCGCATACATCACGCCACTGGGCTGCATAAGGCCTGGAGGAGGGGAGCAGGAAGGACTGGGTCATCAAGGACTGGATGGGGGGGGTTGCTCAACAACACGCCTGGATGTGCAGGTGCAGGCATGGCACCTGCCTCTCTGGAGCAGGGCCCAGAAAGACTCAATGGGGCTGCCATCCGGCCTGATGTGAGTTGCAGCGAGGCTGTGAGCCCTGGGGGAAAGCTGCAACCTGTGTGCATCGATCACAAGCGAGGGCTGGCTGTGTCCTGGTCCCGGGACAGCGGGGTGAGGGCCTCACTGCTGTGTGGGCAGAGCCGACTCACACCTTCACAGATGGGAAGTGAATCGGGAGGCGGCAGCAGGCACTGGGGCTCTCTATCTCTTGCCCATATTTGCCATGTTATTGTGAGAGCTCCAATTCCCTGTTCTCACTTCTTTGAAAGTGCTGATAAGATGGGAACAGAATAAATCAAATGCAAAGTTACATGTTTCCTGGCTTAGGAAGCAAAAACCTAAGTATAACTTGGGAAGTGCTCCTGGGCACGCCTTTCTTTCCCCAACGTAATTTTCCCTCTTTTAAAAAAAAATGATGGTAAAATACATCCAACATTCACTACTTTAATCATTTTTTTTTTTTTTTTTTTTGAGACAGGGTCTCGCTTTGTTGCCCAGGCTGGAGTGCAGTGGGGCAAACACAGCTCACTTCTGGGCTCAAGTGATCCTCCCAAGTAGCTGAGACTACAGGAGTGAGCCACAGTGCCCGACTGCGTCTTTAAAAATTGTTTGTAGAGACAGGGTCTGGCTATGTTGCCCAGGCTGGCCCAAACTTCCGGCCTCAAATGATCCTCCAGGCTGGGACTCCCAAAGTGCTGAAATTACACACATGAGCCACTGTGCCTGGCCCACTTTAACTTTTTTTTTCTTTTTTGAGATGGAGTCTCTGTCACCCAGGCTGGCATGCAGTGGCGTGATCTCAGCTCACTGCAATCTCCACTTCGCAGGTTCAGGTGATTCTCCTGCCTCAGCTTTCCTGGTAGCTGGGACTACAGACACACACCACCATGGTCAGCTGTTTTTTCTATTTTTTAGTAGACAGGGTTTTACCATGTTGGCCAGGGTGGTCTCGAACTCCTGACCTCAAGTGATCCACGTGCCTTGGCCTCCCAAAGTTCTGGGATTATAGGTGTGAGCCACCACACCCAGGCCCACTATAACTATTTTTAAGTGAGTCAAGTTTCACAGTGCCGTGCAGCCAGCACCACCACCATCTCCAGAATGTGGTCATCTTCCCAGGCTGAAACTGTTCCCATTGAACACCAGCTCCCCACTCCTCATGACTATCTCAGGAGCTGGCCTGAACACCACTGCCCTCAAGGTCACTCCGGAAGTAGAACTTCAGTTCAGTCCTCACTTCCTGCTGCTGCAGGTGTGCCTGGGATCCAGAGGTGGCTCCACGTGACCTTTTCCCCACAGGTCTGGCTGGGCCCTTGCTCCTCTTGGAGCTGGGTAGGGCTGGGTGGTCTGGGTAGGGATGCTCAGGGCAGCGGTCACCTGTTGCCCAGCTCTGGGTGGAGCCCTGAGAACAGCTGTTAGGTTCTAAAGAAAGGAGATCTGTCAGACGTTAGTCATCTGCACCACTGTCATAGCTGACGCTGATTGAGCTTCTGTATGCTGGGCATTGTCCCAAAAGCCCCCTGCATGCAGTTCTTGCCATTTAGTACTTTTTGTCTTGTGTTTACTGAATGGATACAATTGGAAGCTAGTTAAATTTAGCTCACGCCTTTGACTTGGGTGGAGGTGAGGAAGGGGGTCTCTGAGGCAGGGAATTGGGTGTGGGCTTTATTTTTAGGCATACTTTGGAGATACGGTGAGTTCCGTTCCAGACCACACTGCAGTAAAATGAATATCATAATGAAGTGGGTCATATAAATTTTTGTTCCCAGTACACGTAAAAGTTATGTTTACACTAAACTGTAGTACGTTCAATATACAATAGCATTTTATCTAAAAAAAACCAATATACATGCCTTAATTTAAAAATGCTTGGCTAGGCACAGTGGCTCACTCCTGTAATCCCAGCACTTTGGAAGGCCGAGGCAGGTGGATCACAAGGTCAGGAGTTTGAGACTAGCCTGGCCAACATTGTGAAACCCCATCTCTACTAAAAATACTTTAAAAAAAAAAAAAAAAAATTAGCCCTGGTGGCATGCGCCTGTAATCCCAGCTACTCAGGAGTCTGAGGCAGAAAAATCACTTGAACCCGAGAGTTGGAGGTTGCAGTGAGCCGAGATCGGGCCACCTGCACTCCAGCCTGGGCGACAGAGCGAGACTCCATCTCAAAAAAAAAAAAAAAAAAAAAAAGCTTTATTGCTAAAAATCCTAATGATCATCCAAGTCTTCAGTGAGTCAGAATTGTTTTGTTGGCAGAGGGTCTTGCCTCGCTGCTGATGCCTGCTGACGGATCGGGGTGGTTGCTGAACGGTAGGGGTTGTGGGTAATTTATTAAAATAAGATGACCGTGAAGCTTACCGCACTGATGGACTCTGCCTTTCACAAGAGATGCCCCAGCACTGGAGGCTGCTTGATAACATTCTACCCACAGTAGAGTGTCTTTCAAAATTAGAAATCCTCTCAAACCCTGCTGCTGCTTTATCGATTATGAAATATTCTAAATCCTTTGGTGACATTACAACCCTGTTCACAGCATCTGCCCCAGGAGGAGATTCTGTCTCAAGGAAGTACTTTCTTTGCTCATCCATAAGGAGCAACTCCTCATCTGTTCAAGTTGGATCCCGAGATTGCAGCAATTCAACCTCTTCTTCAGGCTCCACTTCTAACTCTAGTCCTCCTGCTGTTTCTACCACATCTGCAGTGACTTCCTCCACTGAAGTCCTGAACCCTCAAAGTCATCCAGGAGGGTTGGAATCCACCGCTTCCAAACTTCTGTTAATGTTGATATTTTGACCTCCTCCCATGAAGCAAAAATTTTTTTTTTTTTTTCCTTTTTTTTAGACAGAGTCTCACTCGTTGCTCAGTCTGGAGTGCAGTGATGTGATTGTGACTCATGGAAGTCTCAGCCTCAGCCTCCCGATTAGCTGGAACTACAAGCATGCACCACCACACCTGGCTTTTTTTTTTTTTTTTTTTTTTTAACAGAGTCTCCCTATGTTGCCCTGGCTGGACTCCTGGGCACAAGTGAGTCTTCTGCCTCAGCCTCCCAAATTGTTGAAATTACAGGTGTAGGTCACCTCACCTTGCCTACTTTTCATGGCATCTATAATGGTTTTCAATTTAGTTTGCCCAGGCCCATCAGAGGTATCGCTATCTCTGGCAACTATAGCCTTATGAAATGTATTTCTTGAATAATAAGACTTGAAATTGAAATTACTGTTGGATCCACGGGCCACGGAATGGATGTTGTGTTCGCAGCCATGCAAACAGCGTTATCTCCTTGTCCATCTCCATCACAGCTCCAGGTCGACTACGGGCATGGTCAGTGAGCAGTCATATTTTGAAAGGATTTTTAACATTTTGCAACAGTGGGCTTCAAATATTCAGTAAACCCTGCTGTAAACAAATGTGCTGTCATCCTGATTTTCTTGTTCCATTTCTGGAGCACAGGCAGAGAAGATTTGGCATCATTTTTAAGGCCCTAGGATTTCTGGAATGGTGGATAAATATTGGCTTCAGTGTAAAGTCACCAGCTGCATTAGCCCCTAACAAGAGAGCCAGCCTTTTCTTTGAAACTTTGAAGCCAGTCACTGACTTCTCCTCTCTAGCTAGAGAAGTCCTAGATGGCATCTTCTTCCAATAGAAGGCTGTTTCACCTACGTGGACAATCTGTTTAGTGCAGCCACCTTCGTCAGTGATCTTAGCCAGGTCTCTGGATCACTTGCAGCTTCTACATCAGGACCTGCTCTTTTACCTTGCGCTTCGATGTTATGAAGATGGCTTCCTTCCTTAACCTTATAAACAAACCTCCACTAGCTTCTAATGTTTCTTCTGCAGCTTCCTCACCGCTCTCAGCCTTCACAGAATTGAAGAGAAGTAGGACCTTGCTCTGGATTAGGCTTTGCCTTAAGGGAATGTCGTGGCTGGTTTAATCTTTTATCCAGACCGCTACCACATTCTCCGTATCAGCAATAAGGCTGTTTTGCTTTCTTGTCATTTGTGTTCTTGAAGGAAATTAAAAGTGGAGGAGCACTTTTAATTTCCTTCAAGAACTTTACCTTTCCATTCACAATTTGGTTGTTTGGTGCAAGAAGCCTAGCTCTCAGCCTGTCTCAACTTTGGACATGCCTTCCTCACGAGGCTTAATCATTTCTAGTTTTTGATTTAAAGTGAGAGATGTGCAGCTCTTCCTTTCACTTGAACACTTAGAGGCCAACATAGGGTTATTAATTGGCCTAATTTCAATATTGTTGTGTCTTAGGGAATACAGAGGCCTGAGAGAGGGACAGAGATGGGGCCTGGGCAGTCAATGGAGCAGTCAGAACACACACTTTGTCAGTTAAGTTCACTGTCTTATATGAACATAGTACGTCGTGCCCAAAACACTTAAAATAGTAACATCAAAGATCACAGGCTGGGTGTGGTGGCTCACACCTGCAATATCAACACTTCATATAAAAATTATCCAGGCATGGTGGCACATGCCTGTGGTCCCAGCTACTCGGTAGGCTGAGGTGGGAGGATTGCCTAAGCCTGGGAGATTGAGGCTGCAGTGAGCCATGATCCCACTACCGCACTCCAGCCTGGGCAGCAGAGTGAGACCCTGTCAAAAAAAAAAAAAAAAAAAAAAAAAGATCATTAGTCATGAGGCAGAATAGGGTCTGGAGGCAGGGAACCTAAACCCCCAGCTTTTCTGCACTGGCAGATGGGAAATTGGCTGGCCTCCACAACAGGTTGTCCTGCAACTTTGTAACTCCAGCCTCTGAATGCTTGCTGTCCACGACCAGTCAGACTGATTGCCAGCAGAGTCTTTGTGTGCATAGAAGTATAGCTTTGTGACCTCATCCTAGCCTCTGATTGGTTGCTTTTTGCAACCAATCAGATGTTTGCACAGGAGTGTGACCTTTGTAACATCATTTCAGCCTCTGGTTAGCCGCTTTCTGCAACCAATCAGAATGATTGCGGGATACCACTTCATTTACATGAGGTGAGCATGAAGTGGCCAATGGGAAATTTCTAGGGGATATTTGAAGCCAAGAAGATTCTGTATCCAGGCCCTTGAGCCACTACTCTGGCCCACTCCCACACCATGGAGTGTTACTTTCGTTTTCAATAAACCCCTGCTTTCGTTCTGTTGCTTGATTTTTCCTTTGCTGGGCATTTTATCCAATTCTTTGTTCAAAACACCAAGAACCTGGACAATTTGCAGTCATGACCCTCTACCAGTGTCAGTTACAGAACACCATCGTGGATGATACATAATAAGGAAAAAGTATGAAATATTATGAGAATTACTAAAATGTGACACAGAGAGCCAGAGATCCCATGCTGTTGGAAAAATGGCACCAAGAGACTTGCTAGACACAGGGTTGCCACAGGCCTTCAATGCGTAAAAACCACAATATCTATAAAATTCAATAAAGCAACTACAATAAAATACAGGTGTGCCCGTATTCCGTTTTGCCCCAGTCTGACCAGGAGGTGCATAGATATTTCACTCCCATTTTGTGGACCGGAAAACAAGAAGAAGCTAACTGTAAGGGTGTGTTTTTAGATCCCAATGCCAGGAAGGGTCAGAGTGCAGCTTTTGCCACGTTTGGCATCACGCAGCCCTGGGCACCTCCGCACCTGATGCCCGTGTCATCAGGGCTGGGATTTGGTCTGCAATGCACCTGTGTGATCAAGGCCCAAGATGTGTGCCGGGGGGCAGCTTTCCTTCCTGGGGGAGACTGACTGGCCTGTACGACTTCTGGGTTGATTTCTAGTGAATTGGTTCTCATGTCTTTAGAGTTTAAACTGTGCAAGCAGCATCAGGGAGAGCCAAGAGTTCTGTGGACAGTCTTGAAGCTTGATGGGCTCTTCTGAGTGACAGTGTGAGTGCCAGGCACGTGTCCAGACTATGATATGGGCTTTGACCCTCTGACCTCACTGCCTCTCTGTTTATCTGCTCTGCTTCCTCTACAGCCGATGTCATTGTGGTTCACATTTCGCCCTAGGATGATCTCTGGAAAGGGAGTGGTGGAGACACTTGCTGGAGAAGGCCTGTCTGGACATAAGCACAGAGCTGGGATCCCCGGCTGTGACCCGTTGGCAGGATCCCAGCACCGTTGTACCCCAAGGCTCAGGGCTCAGGGGCTTACTATGTTTGTTACATTGTTAAATGGTCAGGAAGAAGGAAGGAGAAGGAGGAGGATTATTATTCATGGCTGGCCGAAGTGGCTCACCTGTCATCCCAGCACTTTGGAAGGCTGAGGCGATGGACGGCTTGAGGCCAACTCGGCCCCTGTCTCTACAGAAAAATTAGCTGGGAGTGGTGGTGTGAGTCTGTGGTCCCAGCTACTCAGGAGGACACCTGAGCCCAGGAGTTGGAGGCGACAGTGAGATAGTTGTAAAAAACAAAAAGATTTCATGACATGTGAAAATGGTCTGAAATTCTAATACACTGGCCATAAATGAGCTTTACCGGAACACAGCGGCACCCATGCCTTTTGCTTTGTGTGGGCTGCTCTTGCCCCCATGGCAGGGCTGAGTAGTGGGGATGGAGGCCGTGTGCCTGCAGAGCCAAACACATTTACTGACTGGCCCTTCCCACAAGAGGCTTGACAAGCCCAGGCCCTGCTTTCCCTCCCTTCCCGCGATTTGCTCACAATCCTGCTTTCACTTCTTTTGTGTCTACACCTGGAAGCGGCGTGCTGGATCATAGGCTCTCTCTGCTTCTAACTTTTGAGGAGCAGCCCCGCTGATTTCCATAGCAGCTGCACCATCTTACGTTCCCAGCATCAGCACACGAGGGACCCACCATCTTCATTCACATCCTCACCAGCATGTGGTGTTTGCTTTTTTTTAAAAAAAAATAGCAGTCATCCTAGGGGGTGTGAGCTGGCTTAGTTTTGTTTTGTTGTTTTAAGTAAGGCATCATTTTCATACAATGAAATGCATAGATCTTGTTTCCCATGAGAGGGGTTTTGTCAGATGAACTCTTCATGAAATCTACATCCCATCCAGGGATAGGACATTTGCAGTGCTCTGGGAAGCTCCCTGTCACCCTTCCCTGTCATCCCTCTCCAACCTGGCACTGGGCAGTGCCCACCTTTGCCCTCGGTGCCGGTGCACCCACAGCGAGGACAGGGAGGGTCTGCGTGGGTCCAAGCCTGCCTCCCCACGAGGCAGCTCTACTCAGGGTTGCTCCCCTGACCCGGTGAGGAGGTGCCTATGCTGTCAGGAGCAGGGAGAGGGCTGGGTTTGCAGGTGCACCGTGTCCAGCTCCAGCTTCTCCCGAGCCCACTGTGTTTGCTTTTGTAAGGCCGAGCACAGGATGTGCCCATCCTCTGCCTGATGACAGTGGAGCGATGTCACGCCAGGTGCTTCCCGGAGGGAGGCAGGGTGTGCAGCCTGCTGCCTGGCAGGGCGGGGCAAGGTTCCGGAGGAGAGAGCTGGGCCACAGGCCAACCATGCATCAGCAATGTCTACAGCAGCTTCCTCCCCCACCGGTTTTGAAATGTGCATTTCCATTCTGAGGGCCTATTTTCAGCCCCTCTTGCTGCTAAGGGACAGTTTATCTTCAGAATCAACATGCAGATAGAATTGTGCACCCTCTAACCAGGGAGCAGAAGGTGTTTGGCTTTGACAAGTATACAGTTTTTATGAGCAGTAGGTTCCTGAAAAGCTGCTATTCCCAAGGCCAGGCTAGTGCCACAGGCAGGCCTATCCTGGGCTGAGCTCTGTCTCTCCTCCCGTGGATTTACTCAGTAACATCGCAGGAATCTGCGCCCTGACAGAGTGTCTCGGGTTCATTTAACCCTCAGCAAATCATTATTTCTGTCAGATGCTTGGGGTACAGAGTTGAGCAGGCTGGGAACCAGGGACAGACTCAGGGGATGACTGCATGGCACATTCATACTCAAATCTACCTACCTGCAGATGCAGGCTGGGTGGTCAGGCGGTCCCTCAGAGGAAGTCACACCTGAAGGGTGGATGGGATTTAGCCAACGACAAGAGCTGAGGTGAGGAGTCTTGGGGGAGCTGGGATGCAGCCTCTGCGGGGATGTGTGTGCAGGGCCGTGCCAGCCTCTCCTAAAGAGCTCCCAGGGCAGTGGCGTGGTCAGCCCCTGCCAGTGGGGGTTAGTGGGGTAGTGATAAACCCCAGAACCAGAATTGCTTTTCAGGCCTCAGTGGCTCAGATTCCAGAGGCTTCAGTGTCTTGGGCAGAAAGAGACTAAGTTTCTATTTCGGTTATCTCCCTGAAAATCAGCATTTCTCACCCTGGCTTTGATGATTTGGCTGAGTTCTAGGCTTCTTTTCTTCCAAGACGTGGAGCAGATTCAAGGCTGGTGGCCGTCTGTGTGTGGTACCCAAGCCGTGCGGCGTCTGTGGGTCTCATTGCGAGCTTTGTCCTCACTGGCCCACGAGCTCACAGGACCACACTGCCCTCTCCACACCAGGCCCCACAGTGCCTCCGTGCCAGTGGCTCCTGGCCTCCAGAGGTGGCTGATGACTGCCTCATGCCTTCCTCAGAGATCTGGTTTTTAAAGCCAAGTGAGGGTCAATAAATGGAAGGAGACCAGAAGCAAAGAAAAACGGGTTGGATGCAAAAACAAATTGGCTGTCAGATCTCCGATCTACATCTCCGGTATCTCTTCCTTTCTTTTAAAAATGTGTGATTGTGATGACGCATGCAGAATACAACACGTCTTCCCATTTGTAAGTGCATAGTTCAGTGGAGTCAAGCGCATTCTCTCTGTCCTGCAGCCAGTCCCTACAACGCTTCATCTTGGCTGGGCACAGTGACTCACGCCTGTAATCCCAGCACTTTGGGAGGCCAAAGGGAGTGGATCGCCTGAAGTCAGGAGTTCAAGACCAGCCTGACCAACACGATGAAACCCTGTCTCTACTAAAAATACAAAAATTACCCAGGTGTGGTGGCGCGTGTCTGTAATCCAAGCTACTCAGGAGGCTTAGACAGGAGAATCACTTGATCCCAGGAGGTGGAAGTTGCAGTGAGCCAAGATCGAGTCATCGCACTCCAGCCTGGGTGACGAGAGTAAAACTCTGTCCCAAAAAAATAAAAAATAAAAAATGAACGCTTCTCTTGTGTGAATATTAAGCATTTTTTAAAAAACAATAGGAGGCCAGGAGTTGTAGCTCACACCTGTAGTCCAGCACCTGTGTTATCAAGGCCCAGGGAGTGTGCCTGGCTGTGGCTTCCTTCC